AATAACATTGAACACCGACGCAACTGTGCGTCGTTAGTCTATTTGAATGTGACCAGCTGACGCAAATATGCGTCGGTGGTCTATTGTGAGAAACGAGTCGACGCACAATTGCGTCGCTGGTCTATGCGAACGTAAATTCCATATAATTGTGGTAGCGAACGTGTTAACGATATCAAAACTATTTTTTTTATTAGATATTACAGGGAACAAGTGATAGTTTTTTTCTCAAAAATACCAAAACTGTTTTCTTATACAAATTTAAAAAAAATTAAAAATGGGCCTGTAACATTTTTTTAATACTCCTGTCAACCTGTGTTTTTAGGTGGAAAAAATTAGTAACAAGCTGATTTTTTCCCCATCAACTACTACCATTTAGAGAAGTGTTCAGCCAAAAGTCCCCACCCCTACCCCCCTTGCTTCCCCCCCTACGCTCCCCTAAACATATAAAGTGCAAGGGTTTCGTAATTCATGTTTTCTCGATTGTTAAATAACATATTGAATCGCAATTTGTTTTATTGTCTTTGTTATAACATTTTCTACAACCATGTTGAGTTAACTTTAGTCGTAACTGTTGTCATTTGTTTGTTATTTCTATAAAAATGTAAAAATTTATATTTTTTGGACACGTAATTTTATTTTTGTCGCTATAACTTTTCTCGCCGACGTTTTATGAAAATATGTTTCAAGCCAAAGTTATAGCTGCTGTCATTAGCTTTAAAATGATAGATAATAGTACAGTAGAACCCCTCATATCCGGCCTTGGTTTTACCGGTCCTCTGTTTATCCGGCCCCTTCCAGGAAGCCAATATCAAAATTTTTTTCTCACACCTTACAGACGTTTAGTTACAAGCACTAGTCTTTGTGACTGCTTAAGTCATAAAATAAATTGTTCTCATTATTTATCTGTTTGTTTATACATTTATTTGCTGAGTCACTATACTCAGTTGAGCTAGTAGGCCTAACCTCTGATCAGTTGGCTGATTATTTCCAAAGTGGGTTTAGTACAGTACAGTACTAGTACATTAATTTTTGTATTTCACAAAATGGTTAAGAATGTTGAGTAGAAATGCAATGTACCATTTAAGTCCTAATGATCTTTAAGTACAATTTATTGTCATTTTTACCTCCATTTAATATGTTTTGTTACCTGGAATCATAATATTTGTAGCCTACATTCATTACTTACAGTAATGACTTTAACCTACAAATATTTTTTTCCTTTTTACAAACATGTTTATTTTTCTAAAAATGATCCCAGAACAGAATTAAATGATACTTTTTATTGCATATATTGATTACCTATTATTATTAGGTATGAATTGTCATTTTCATAGTAGGTTGGTTTATCCGGCCAAATCGTTATCCGGCCAGGGGCTTGGTCCCGTGGTGGCCGGATATGAGGGGTTCTACTGTACTTACTTTATTGGAGATCCTGCGAGATTCAGCCGGTGTAATGCAGTATGTGTACTCAGTCTCACTATTAAATAATCTCTAAAAAACAATCAAAACAAACCCCATCTATATATTAATAGGCAAGCATGTTTCTTTAAAACCTTTTTTCTCAGCTCGTGTGAATCGTAGGGAAAATCTACGCATACCGTTGGAAAGCTATTTTCCTGTAGGTGTGCAGAATCCCTTTATAAATTTAAATAGGCTCAAAGATAAGCACAAAAAATGAGTTTAAAAATTTGAAAAAATTAACATGGATCTTATGCGTTGCTATGCTGGTTACGAAATAACAACGAAATATAAACAGAAAACCAAAACAAATGGAGGAAACTCCAATCACATGTTTTATTTACAGTGTGGGGTGAAAATAGATAAGTGAGTACATTACATATTTTTGGTCGAGTTTCGACCACTGGACGACCTCTCGTATACAGTTAATAAAATGTATTTCAATAGTTTATAATTTAAAAAGCATGTAATCATTTTTATGTTTGTAATATTTTTAAAGGATGCTATCTTTGAACATAGTAATTGCATTGCCATGATTTAAAGTCAAAAATGTAACATACATCGAACTGCAATTTTTTTTAGTTTCCTTTTGTTATAATACTTCCTACAATCATGTCCAGTTAAATATCGTCCTAACTGTTACCGTTTGTTTGTTATCTCTAGAATAATGCAAAGATTAACATTTTATGGACCTGTAATTTCATTTTTTTGCAAAACTTTCAACACCGCACATTCACTAAACATTTCTCTCAAGAAATGCCACTGGCGTTGAAAAAAAAAAAACCGTAATTTTATGGAAGTATTTTTTAAACAAAATTGTAGCTGCTATCAACTTTAAAATGATATATTGAAACGTGTACGTTATGGTTACGTAACGCCATATATCAACCGTGAATGTATGGTGTGCACTATTTTTATGTGGCGCTCCATAGCTGATCCGTTACCGCACTCGTGTACAATGTTTCTACTCATTATCGTATTTTTCTTGATTTTTAAAATTGTAAGACACCAAAAAACAATAGGAAAGCAGTCGATTTAGTTCATACTTTAATTCAACTACTATACAAACTATAAGTAAATGTATTCAAAATAGGGAAAAAATAGGTGATTAGGTTAGGTCCAGGTTAGAAGGATTTGTTTACCTTGTTATACTAGGTTTTTGAAACAACCCATTTAATCACCCAATACGTGTGCAGGTCGTGGTAGACCAGTTAACGAGTTATTAAAAGAATCATTCATAAAAGTTTGCGATTTCATTGAGGAAAATGATGATTACCACCATATTCCTAACCTTTTGCAATTGATGAAAAATATATCAGGCAGAGACCAGGTTTATAAAACGAAGTACTTCAAAACATTATTACTAAATAACTTGGTGAAAGACTGCGAACATAAAAATAAATCCTCCATAGTTTGTTTAATAGATAGGGTGGACAAGATTTTCTCTGAAACTTGGTACTCTTAAAATAAAAGGCATGATAATATTAAGAGAAAACCTTGAAATATGCATGAATTCTTGTGACCATGAAAAAAGCATGGATTATACAGGAATTTCTCCATTGGACCATGAATTTTCAAAATCAGTTGAATAAATACTCAACCAATACCATTTAATTCACCAAATAAAATAATTTTCATATTTAAAAAAAGTTCATAAAAACAAACACCAAGAGAATACTGTATGGAGATGATTATTAAACATGTTCCACAATCAAAGACAATAATTGCTTAGTTTCATTGCAAGTCATTTGAGGTTAGCTAACTGATGTCAGCAGAGTTTTCCCAAGAACTGTATATGGTTTGAAAAATCATTAGTAGTCCTACCTAGGTATGGATAAAGGGGTGTGGGGACTTAAGTCATAACAACAGAAGTTTTAGACCATGCACAGAATTTAAACGGGATGTGCAATAAAACAGAATTTCCGACTCTGACACCTAATTTTTTTAGCTTTGTGGATAAAATCAATCTTATCTTAGTCCATTGACTATTAAGATAAACCAGAATACAGGATATTTCATGATATTCATGTAAGGGATTATACAGGATTTTTTTTGGCCGGGTGAGCGGGAGTTTTTGTTAATTCCTTTGGAAACACAGAATTAGACCTAGTCTTAATATATTTTAAGATTATCCTCCAATATGTCATTTGGAATAGCTGGACCTGTTGAAAACACTCTAAAACATATATTTCATGTTTGAAATGTTATTTAATAGTAACACACAAAGACACTGCCTCTTTAACGTCAATTTCTGAAATGAGCAAAACTCAATTGTGTTGAAATCATATGAGCGCATCAACCATGAAATTTTTCAAACTACCAATGAAAACCATGAATTCCTTATGATTTTTTTCATCCCACTATGGTGGCAACACTTATTTAGCATTGATAATGTGTAAAATGTGAGGGACCAGGGGAAATATTCAAATTTGAATTAATGCCATGATTTGCATTTTTACATCAAAATCCAACATTGCACAATCATGATAATTTAGGTCATTGACCTTTTTACCTTTACGCATCCGGTAGTGCTGATCAGAAGAGAAGCACGTCGATAATTATAAATTTATGTTCACGTAGTTGAAAAAAATTATTTTGTAAACCTATAAAACATTAGATAAATCATAAAGAAGTATAAAATCTTACATAAAGATAATAACAGCACTCCTAAATAAGGTTTACAGATAACAACATAAAAAAGTCATTATTCTTTCTCTTTGTTCTTCCATTCTTTCTTTGATTTCCCTTCATCCAAGCTTCAACAAGTTGTCATGGTTACTGATCACCCCATTAGATACTACTAAGCATTATCATCACTTATTGATAACATCACCATTTTAATGATTTTTATATTTTATTATTGGAGGCCTATTAGGGGGTAATTATTAACATTTAAATATTAATATACAACTTATCTTTAGTAGTTAATGGAGGACTGAAGAACCGACAATTTTCCAACGGTCTTGGTTATTTTCCCAATAACCGTTGGAACCAAAAACAGTCTTTTGGACCTGACACATAACTAAACTTAACAATACAACCAAAATCCGGAATTATGTTAAAATTACATCTGCACTTGTTTCATCTGTCAACATTCTTTCTTATTAAATGGCGACCATACAAAGTAGGTATTTAAAGCCAAGTATGAATGGAGATGAATGTAGGATGAGTGGCACCATCTTGTACTGTGTATTAATAGTGTAGATAGAGGTCCTGCTAGAAGTTTTAGCCTCATTAGGAAGGTAAAATGACTTTAATCTCAATAAATGAGATTGACACTGAACCCTAACTACCTAACTAAGATTATCATGAAAACAGCAAGTCCCAAAAATCCTATGCATTAAGAAAGAACACATTATGAACTAAAGCGATATATAATTTAGGACTATTGTAAAAAAAAGTTTATTTTTCTTATCTATAGAATTCAATAATTGGACTTAAGTGATTATTAAAGTAATGCCAAGTATTTGTAATGAAAATTATACCTCAATCACAAAAGAGTGTACTTTGTTACGTGTTATGAGTTTTCTTTGTCTTTGTAGGTGCTATGTTGATTTCTTCATTGAGGAAAATGAAAGAAGCTCAGCGCATAGTTTATGTGTGCTCTAATCACAAATTGCCGTCAAAAAATATCATGGACCTGTCCCTACTGGAAGGGGAGATGGGAGAGTGTAAGGGCACAGATCCGTTTTTCCCTATCAGAGTTATTCCTGTGGATATTTCCCCACATTCCCTCAGATGTGAATTGGTTATCCTGCTAGAACGTCTGGACATGAGCAAGATTCCAAAGCCATTGAGGAGTCCGATGCCTAAAGGCAGAAACTTCTACTATCAGGGGGAGTGGGAGGGAAAGGGTTTCAGAATAACTGGTCACAGAGAAAGACCTGGAAGAGGAAGTCCGTTTGGAAAACGAGGATTTCGTCCTACTCCGCGCCACATGAGAGAACTAGGAGGGGGATGGGCTCCTGCGGGGCCTGCCAGGGGACGCCGCCCACCCCCAGGCTTTGGTGGCCCCCCAGCATATGATAACTACATGGACTATGATTGTTTAGAAGTCAAACCCTATATTCCCCCACCACCACCTAGAGCCAACGTTTCACATCGTTTGGCTATTGCGAATGCGATGCTGGAGAGAGGTTTGAGACTGGCAGAGGAGGCAATGGCCGAAGGTAGCTACGGAAGAGGTCCTCTTCCACCACCTCCGGGAGTGATACCTCCCTACGCCGGGGGATACCCTCCACACAGGGGTGGCTGGGGTGGGGACAACTACGCCAGGGGAAACTACAGAGGGGGTAGGGGGCGGGGTGGACGAGGAAACAAGTCTCGAGGAGGTTGGAGGCGCTAAACATTGAGCAATGCAATGGAACACTTGCCATATCCAGCTTAAACATTTCTCATTGTACATTAGGTTATTACCTACTTTATCCTCCTGGAGAAGATGTATTCTATTCTAATTACAATTAATATATATTGCTTATAGGCTTGAAGAAGTATAATTTCATTATATCCAACTACATTAGACTCCCTCTTATCCGGACACCTTTTAACCGGACATCGGTTTAACCGGACCACTCTCGGCAGAAATGACATCTCTTCAACTGGACAATTTTTATCAGCTCATCGGTTTAACCGGACTAGATCGGCAGGAAGGCCCACTGTACAAGTACCGCCCAGGTACTGAAACAACTGTTGTCGTGGGAAAGATTTGAGATCAGTGATCACGTGTCTAAATACAATACTCTCCTAAATTTAAGTCAAATATGTAGACCTATACAGTATGCATTTAAACGGTCAGTTTTAACGAGTTTTTGGAGAGGTCGGTTTAACTGGAAAAACTGTTATCCGGATAGCTTCGGTTCTGAGAAGTCCGGATAAGAGGGAGTCTACTGTAAATGCAATTTACGAAGCTATGTTGCCTTTTATAAGTATGTGTATAGACGTTGTATGTTTTAAATGTTTTACCAGGAATATAATGTAATTCAATTACTGTGTGAGTTTCAATCTATCCATTTATCTTTATTCTTTTTAAAAACAAAATTTCCAAACTGCTTTAGTAATAGACCCCAAAGCAGAACGTTTTTAAACTTTTTGGAAAAATCTAAAAGTTTTCTGCGGGCTTACACCATCCAAGTTGCGTGTAAATGAACCGTGTGTGTGATAGTTATAATGAATATTTGGAAATTCGTATCCGTTTGAATACGCCTACTGTTATTACTGTACATTGAATCGCTTTAGTAATTTGGTTATTCTATGCGTTCTTACTCACGATCGATGCACCGAATATTGATGTCACAGCTTTCGTTTATGTAATGCATGACATTTTGTAGCGTTACTGTTTTCAGAACAGTGATTTTTTCTGCAGAAAATAAATTTGTAGACTTTCTATAGAAATATTTTCAGCAAAAAACATATTATTAACTTGTTATGTAGCATTTTCAGCAGAAACTTATATAGGTTAAGCATAAGAAATGGCGGTGTAGCCCTAACTTTGCCTTGGAAATTTTATAAAAAGGGGTTTTTTTAGGCAGGCTAGGCTTTCTGCAGCCCTTGCCATCTTTCTGCGACAATGTCGCACTGTCGCCCGTAGGTCTGCTTTGGGGACCTTAAAGATTTATCCTGAAACTAAATACACGAGATATTCCATGTTTAAAAAAATTAGGAACACTTTAAAAACAACCATTTTGTAAAATAAGTTGAGTGAAATGAGTAACTCTTCACTCAAAACAATTTATTCAGCATTGCTTCCAGGATTGATTTGTGACTGAATAAATAGGTTTATGTACTTTACGTCGTCAATTCTTCTGTAGTCTCGGGCTACTAGTTTCAAAACAGTTGTTTCATTTTCAAGCCCATTTCGTCATACATAAATTAATAGTACTCAATGTCGTCGTCAATATTTACAAATTTTACATTTCGTCATACATAATTTATAATTTATACATAATTTACATAATTTATACATAATTATTTATGTATGACAAAATGGGCTTGAAAATGAAACAACTGTTTCAAAAATAGTCGCCCAATACTACAGAAGAATTGACGACATAACGTAAACCTATTTATTTTGTCAAAACAATTTGTATTTTAACTCAAATGGAATACTTTTTAAAATGTCATTTGAAAGTATACATTTCATTAACTAATCTATATTTTTTATTTATTAAATCTCACAATTTTGGATTTGTTTGGTTTTCAATATAATAACATACAAAGCAATACCTTGTCTTTGGCAATAATAATTAATGGGGTTCCTATAATGTCAATTTTTTTTACCAGAGATTAAAAAAAAATATTATGTTATTAATTATTAAGTTATTAAGTTACTAGCTGAGTACCCGTCCTTCATACGGAGTTGGCGTATAAGTATACAATGCTTATTGCAGTTATACTCGTGCTTTGAATTTGCAATGGGAGAGGACATGTTTTAAGAAAATTTTGTTTACTATAATTTACGGTATACTATAGTTTAGCACATCTACCATAGCCATAATGTTCTACCACTTCACCTAAACAATAGAAAGAAGTAAAGTTCTCACAGGTTTTTGTTGCTGCTTGGTTTAAATTAGCTGTTGTCATAAATTAAAGAACTAATGGTGCTGCACCCTGTTGGTTAACCGTAACCTTTTAATGGTATTGAATAGAATAGATAAGATTCTAAATATCAATAGTATTTGAATAGAAACAAATTGTGTAGTTATAACAGCTGACAAAATTATTTAATTCCTTTTAAATAAGAATACTCATAAGGTTACCATGGGAAACTCTAGAGCCACTGGGGCGGAGTTCAAAAGGATTTTTGAGGTAAAAATATGCCTATATGTTAATCGGGAATGTGAGCTATCATCATACCAAATTTCAACACAATCCGACCAGTAGTTAATGCGTGATTGAACTTCAAACAAACACACAAACTTTCACATTTATAATATTAGTATGAATGTTATTAATAATTATTATGGTATGTTATTAAGTTATTATGTTCCAATATTTTACCATTTGGTCATTTTAAATGTGTTTTTCCAAGTATAGATGTTTCACACAATGCTTTCTGGGCTGACCAAGATACAGTAGAACCTCGCTAATCTGCCACCTACGGGACAGGGAGCATGGTCGGAACAGCAAAAAGGTCGGATTATCAGAGGAACGTGTTTATTGACATAAAAACGTAGTAAAACTGTATTTCGAACAGACCACGGATAACCATGGTTAATCCAACATGACTTAAAACAGTTATTTCCAACTCATAAACAACGTCTTATACTAACTGTATAAATGAACTTTAATGTGATAATTTGTATATTACATCATAAAAATACAATTAGTAGGCTATTGGGCAATCATGATATTTATTTTGTGTCATTAACCTTGGTTCAGTAATAAAAACTGTAACGTTTAAAATCACAGCTTTTTTCAAACTTTTACTCAAACAAATAAATTGCCAAACATTGTACAGCAAAATAAATAACAATAGAAAGTCTAGTAAGCTACTGCTGACAAGTGGGCGAATAAAGGAGCTGAAAGCCCGCTCATGGGTCCAGAGCCGACGTGTGGCATTGCTTACAGCACAGCACGGAGAGCTGTTCGCCAGTGGATGGGCATAGAACATCGAAGGAGCTGGGAAAGAACAGAAGGCAATGTACAGTCAAAGAGAATGCTGCAGGCACCTACTGGCGTGATAGCGGCAGATGCCCTTGGGCTGAGTAGGGAGATCCTGCAGAAGGTGGTTGGCTTTATTAGCGGCCATTGGGTATTCCGTGGACATCTACACAAGAAGGGAATTCAAGTTGAAAGCCTCTTATGTAGGAAATGTGAAGAGGAGGAGGAGACAGCATTCCACGTGATATTTATGTGCCCAGCCCTACAAGGTCTGGCATGAGATCCCTTGGCCTATCGACTGGAGATCAAAGGGAAGAACGGGTCACCATAGTCAAAAGGATCTCATGGTTCACAAAGAAAGAATGAGTACCTGTGAATGAGGGTGAACAATAAGCTGTTCCAGCTGTGCTGCAATCCCATGGTTACTTGTAAGCCTGGCTTTCTATTAAAAAAAAAAATCTGCTAGTCATAGGCTACTGCTACGCTGTTTCAGGACTGAAGAACTAAGATTACGCATAAAAAAGTATAAAATAATAGTAGGCTACTTATAGCATAACAACAGTCGTAAAATACACGATAAAGATAACAACATAAAAACATCACTTATTCTTTCTCTTTGTTCTTCTATTCTTTCTTGAGTTTCTCTTCATCTACCCATTCAACAAGTTGCCATGGTTACTAATCACCCAATCACAGGCTACTGTACTACAGTTGTTATGATTACCAAATACCCAATCACAAAATGTTAGCAAGCGCACAGCAGACAGATGTGTCATATGTAGGCCTAAGGAGCAGAAGATTGTCAGTGCAAACGGATAGCTTGACCTTGAAGTTTTGATCGACATTCCTTTGTTTTGCTTTCATTTTATTTTTGTCAAATTACATTTTTCAAAAACAATAATGTGGGAGCCTACTTTACTTAATATTAATAATGGGCAGAAATGGTTAAATATACAACAAATTTCAACACATTATCAAGTTCGAACACTTCAAACAAATTAAAACACTATTTATAAAGTTTTTTTAGGTATTTTTCTTGGGCAATGAGGTTATGTTAGCAGAAGCCTGTTGTGTTGGCGGCACGGTCGCACAAAGAGAGGAGTCGGATCATCAGAGGTTCTCAGGATTAGCGAGGTCTTCTGTAATTGTACAAAACAGTTGACATTGTCAGCTTTGATTTTGTACATAAAAGTAGGCCTATACCTATGCTAATGTAAATTATGCACCCTACCCTGCTAGTGTGGTGTTGTAATATATTTATGAAATAAAAATGTTCCATGATTATCACACATAGAACCAAATTAAAAGTTTTCACAATTACAATTGCAAATTTTACAATCTACGGTGTGAATCGCAGACTTTAAAACATCAGTGTCTGAAGTAGTTATACATTAAAACAAGTTAACAAAAGAAATCCAATTGGTCAATTGAACTTTGTTGTTCCTTAAAACATAATGCTTGGATATTAAACAAAGCGTAATTCAGAGTATGAATTACCAAAGTTAAATCATTTACAAAAGATAAAAAGCTGCGCAACCCAGAGGATGGATTGCAAGCTCAATGGTGTTTACTTGTTTTCCAAGTTAAGCAGACTGCTGTTTGGAGATGGTGGCAACCAACGTTTTTCAAGTTTTTTTCGTCATCCTTGTTTTGGTGGGCAACCAAAATTTAGGATGATCACTGATCAGTCCAACACCTTCCTGAGGGACTCGTTGAGTCTGCCAGTGAATTAAAAGTGAGTTGAACTCATTTGTAGTTAAGTGTTGTTAAAAGAGGTTTGGTTAGCTCATTGAGCAAAGCAACCCTTTGTTGGAGGCCCTTACATCATTTGAGTGTAACAGGCCTGTAGGATTAAATACGCTAATGACTTTAAGTTTCAAAGTTACCAATATTTGGAACCCGCACAGGTTAAATTATGGATTTAACATTTGTCTTGCCTTACAAGTCTCGTAATAGACACTCAAATTAAACATAACATTACATAATGACAGACTAGTGGGGCACAAGAACTCTGTACAGTACATGTGTTATTCCAAGCTCTCAGTATTTTTTTGTATATTGAGATGACTTATTATTTTGACATCTTGTAAAAAGAATAGTGATTAAATAAAATAAAGACGACTAAGATGGTTCTTAATTTTTATGTCGTATTTGACAGTGACAGTTTCACATATTTTTACAGCTGTGGTTTTTTTCAGGTAAGCAGTTCATTGCAACGATGAGGAAGTCAACTGAAGTGAACAGATTGATTTATGTTTGCACAAGCCAATTCCCTCCAACACAAAATCTTCTGGATTTGGTGAGTAAAAACGAAAAGCACGGCTTCCAAGATCTGGATCCATTCGTAGTTAAACGTGTGATTCCTGTTGATCTGCATCCGCATATGCT